TGCCTGGATGATGACTAACAAACTTACCCTGAACACTGATAAAACCTATTTCATTCAGTTTGGAAACAAAGCTGCAAATGATCCAATTAACATAACACTAAATGGATCATCAGTCACAAGATTCACAGAGGGAAAATTCCTAGGTCTCCACTTTGACAGTAGCCTTAAGTTCCGGACACACGTACAACAAATCACCAAGAAAATCTCCAAGACTGTAGGCATACTATCAAAGATAAGGAACTACGTTCCACAATCAGCTCTCCTGGCACTGTACCATTCACTCATAAACCCTTATCTTACATATGGAATTTGTGCATGGGGATCAACAACATCCCATCACCTAAAACCCCTAATAACCCAGCAAAAGGCAGCAGTAAGAATGATAACAAATTCCCACTCCCGCCAGCATACTCCACCAATTTTCAGAAGTCTGAATCTGTTCACCATTAAGAACATCCATACTTATTCATGTGCCTACTACATACACAGAACAATACACGCAAATATAAACCCTCCACTCAAACTTCTCCTCACCAACTTAAACAGGACACATGACCACAACACAAGACACAGATCTCTTTTTGATATACCTCACACTGTGTAAAAACTCTATGCACATAAAGGGCCCCAAAATACGGAATTCATTACCAGAAGATATTAAAGTAACCCAGTCTGAAAATCAATTTAAGACTCTTCTCAAAAGCCACTTAATCACCCTAGACTAAATGCTAAATACTCAGTACACATTTACTCACCTATGTTCTCCCAAATCATAACTGAAACAATCACTTTGAACCTTTTATCCATTGTTGACAGGAATATAATTGAATCATTGTTTTCACAAAAAGCATTTTTGAATATAAATATATCTTTGTATTATACAAATTTTGATTCTTTTATAATTAATATTCTCCTGTACAATTATGAAATAATTACTATCCTATTGTACAACTATGAAATAATCCTTAGTGTTAAGTAGTCTGTAAGTCAATAATGTTAAGTTGGCCCATAATACCTAGGCATAATAGAGGCTCTCTTTGCATTGCAACCCACTATTGTAAATACAAAATCTCAATGTACTGTTTGCAAAGACATAAAATAAATAAACAAAATAAATAAATAAAAAATAGGTACTAGGTTGGTAGACAGCAACCACCCAGGGAAGTACTACCGTCCTGCCAGATGACTGTGAAACAGAAACCTGTAACTGTTTTACATGATGGTAGGATTGCTGGTGTCTTTTTCTGTCTCATAAACATGCTAGATAACAGGGATATCTTGCTACTCCTACTTACAGTTTGGTCACATTTCACAGACACGCACATGCATATATACATATGTACGTATATACATACATCTAGGTTTTTTCTCCTTTTTCTAAATAGCTCTTGTTCTTAATTTCTTCTATTGTCCATGGGTAAGTGGAAAAGAATCCTTCCTCCGTAAGCCATGCGTGTTGTATGAGGCGACTAAAATGCCGGGAGCAATGGTCTAGTAACCCCTTCTCCTGTAAACATTTACTAAAAAAGAGAAGAAGAAAAACTTTATAAAACCGGGATGCTTGAATGTGCGTGGATGTAGTGCGGATGACAAGAAACAGATGATTGCTGATGTTATGAATGAAAAGAAGTTGGATGTCCTGGCCCTAAGTGAAACAAAGCTGAAGGGGGTAGGGGAGTTTCGGTGGGGAGAAATAAATGGGATTAAATCTGAGAGAGTTAGAGCTAAGGAAGGGGTAGTAATAATGTTGAAGGATCAGTTATGGAAGGAGAAAAGAGAATATGAATGTGTAAATTCAAGGATTATGTGGATTAAAGTAAAGGTTGGATACGAAGTGGGTCATAATAAGCGTGTATGCACCTGGAGAAGAGAGGAATGTAGAGAGAGAGAGAGAGAGATTTTGGGAGATGTTAAGTGAATGTATAGGAACCTTTGAACCAAGTGAGAGAGTAATTGTGGTAGGGGACCTGAATGCTAAAGTAGGAGAAACTTTTAGAGAGGGTGTGGTAGGTAAGTTTGGGGTGCCAGATGTAGATGATAATGGGAGCCCTTTGATTGAACTTTGTATAGAAAGGGGTTTAGTTATAGGTAATACATATTTTAAGAAAGAGGATAAATAAGTATACAAGATATGATGTAGGGTGAAATGACAGTAGTTTGTTGGATTATGTATTGGTAGATAAAAGACTGTTGAGTAGACTTCAGGATGTACATGTTTATAGAGGGGCCACAGATATATCAGATCACTTTTTAGTTGTAGCTACACTGAGAGTAAAAGGTAGATGGGATACAAGGAGAATAGAAGCATCAGGGAAGAGAGAGGTGAAGGTTTATAAACTAAAAGAGGAGGCAGTTAGGGTAAGATATAAACAACTATTGGAGGATAGATGGGCTAATGAGAGCATAGGCAATGGGGTCAAAGAGGTATGGGGTAGGTTTAAAAATGTAGTGCTAGAGTGTTCAGCAGAAGTTTGTGGTTACAGGAAAGTGGGTGCGGGAGGGAAGAGGAGCAATTTGTGGAATGATGATGTAAAGAGAGTAGTAGGGGAGAAAAAGTTAGCATATGAGAAGTTTTTACAAAGTAGAAGTGATGCAAGGAGGGAAGAGTATATGGAGAAAAAGAGAGAGGTTAAGAGAGTGGTGAAGCAATGTAAAAAGAGAGTAAATGAGAGAGTGGGTGAGATGTTATCAACAAATTTTGTTGAAAAATAAGAAAAAAGTTTTGGAGTGAGATTAACAAGTTAAGGAAGCCTAGAGAACAAATGGATTTGTCAGTTAAAAATAGGAGAGGAGAGTTATTAAATGGAGAGTTAGAGGTATTGGGAAGATGGAGGGAATACTTTGAGGAATTGTTGAATGTTGATGAAGATAGGGAAGCTGTGATTTCGTGTATAGGGCAAGGAGGAATAACATCTTATAGAAGTGAGGAAGAGCCAGTTGTGAGTGTGGGGGAAGTTTGTGAGGCAGTAGGTAAAATGAAAGGGGGTAAGGCAGCTGGGATTGATGGGATAAAGATAGAAATGTTAAAAGCAGGTGGGGATATAGTTTTGGAGTGGTTGGTGCTATTATTTAATAAATGTATGGAAGAGGGTAAGGTACCTAGGAATTGGCAGAGAGCATGCATAGTTCCTTTGTATAAAGGCAAAGGGGACAAAAGAAAGTGCAAAAATTTTAGGGGGATAAGTCTGTTGAGTATACTTGGTAAAGTGTATGGTAGAGTTATTATTGAAAGAATTAAGAGTAAGACGGAGAATAGGATAGCAGATGAACAAGGAGGCTTTAGGAAAGAAAGGAGTTTGTGGACCAGGTGTTTACAGTGAAACATATAAGTGAACAGTATTTAGATATGGCTAAAGAGGTTTTCGTGGCATTTATGGATTTGGAAAAGGCGTATGATAGGGTGGATAAGGGGGCAATGTGGTAGATGTTGCAGATGTATGGTATAGGAGGTAGGTTACTGAAAGCAGTGAAGAGTTTTTACGAGGATAGTGAGGCTCAAGTTAGAGTATGTAGGAAAGAGGGAGATTATTTCCCAGTAAAAGTAGGCCTTAGACAAGGATGTGTGATGTCACCGTGGTTGTTCAATATATTTATAGATGGGGTTGTTAAGAGAAGTAAATGCGAGGGTCTTAGCAAGAGGTGTGGAGTTAAAAGATAAAGAATCACACATAAAGTGGGGGTTGTCACAGTTGCTCTTTGCTGATGACACTGTGCTCTTGGGTGATTCTGAAGAGAAGTTGCAGAGGTTGGTGGATGAATTTTTTAGGGTATGTAAAAGAAGAAAATTGAAAGTGAATACAGGAAAGAGTAAGGTTATGAGGATAACAAAAAGATTAGGTGATGAAAGATTGGATATCAGATTGGAGGGAGAGAGTATGGAGGAGGTGAATGTATTCATATATTTGGGAGTGGACGTGTCAGCGGATGGGTCTATGAAAGATGAGGTGAATCATAGAATTGATGAGGGGAAAAGGGTGAGTGGTGCTCTTAGGAGTCTGTGGAGAGAAAGAACTTTGTCCTTGGAAGCAAAGAGGGGAATGTATGAGAGTATAGTTTTACCAACGCTCCTGTATGGGTGTGAAGCTTGGATGATGAATGTTGCAGCGAGGAGAAGGCTGGAGGCAGTGGAGATGTCATGTCTGAGGGCAATGTGTGGTGTGAATATAATGCAGAGAATTCATAGTTTGGAAGTTAGGAGGAGGTGCAGGATTGCCAAAACTGTTGTCCAGAGGGCTGAGGAAGGGTTGTTGAGGTGGTTTGGACATGTAGAGAGAATGGAGCAAAACAGAATGACTTTAAGAGTGCATCAGTCTATAGTGGAAGGAAGGCGGGGTAGGGGTCGGCCTAGGAAAGGTTGGAGGGAGGGGGTAAAGGAGGTTTTGTGTGTGAGGGGCTTGGACTTCCAGCGGGCATGCGTGAGCGTGTTTGATAGGAGTGAATGGAGACAAATGGTTTTTAATACTTGACGTGCTGTTGGAGTGTGAGCAAAGTAACATTTATGAAGGGGTTCAGGGAAACCGGGCAGGCCGGACTTAAGTCCTGGAGATGGGAAGTACAGTGCCTGCACTCTGAAGGAGGGGTGTTAATGTTGCAGTTTAAACTGTAGTGTAAAGCACCCTTCTGGCAAGACAGTGATGGAGTGAATGATGGTGAAAGTTTTTCTTTTTTGGGTCACCCTTCCTTGGTGGGAATCAGCCAGTGTGTTAATAAAAAAATACAGTGGACCCCCGGTTAACGACATTTTTTCACTCCAGAAGTATGTTCAGGTGCCAGTACTGACCGAATTTATTCCCATAAGGAATATTGTGAAGTAGATTAGTCCATTTCAGACCCCCAAACATACACGTGCAAACGCACTTACATAAATACACTTACATAATTGGTCGCATTTGGAGGTGATCGTTATGCGGGGGTCCACTGTAATAAAAATAAAAAATAAATTTCTCTGCCAAATTTTCACCCCATCATGCCAGTAATACCTGTAGGAATAAAAAAATCTGGAATCTGGAACAATTTTATTTCCATTTTGCACAACATATATCAATTCAAGGTTCTAGTAATATTCACCTTCAAGGCTTTAATTTTATTAGCCTTTAGACCTAAGAATGTCAGACCTTGAGTACTTTCTTTAGATGCCCCTTGGGATGAATGAACTGTACACCTTCAAAAACTTTATTCCCCAGGTAATAACCCAGCATGTAAGAAATACTGTTCTAGATCATCTGCATTAACATGTATTGATCTACTGTAAACCAATATGCCTTTACTCTGAAACTGAATGATTTATAAAATCTATTCATGTTACTATCTTTACAGATTCTCTTAACTGTGTAAAATATTGAGTTCATGAAAGTGAGAACAAGGAATTCATGTTACTTTTTTTTTTTCTCGAATTAACATTTTCAAAATTCATATAAAATTAAGTAAATTAGTTATAAATAGCTACAAAAAATATTTACATAAAGTGAAAAAATAAACAGTTTTTCAAGGTTAGTGCCCAGCTGTAAATTTTGGAACTTTATACATCTCATAGGCAAATGTCTCCAAGTGACTGGGATCCCAATAAACACCTATGTAGTCTACTTCTAATCTAAATGGTGCATTAATACGATCTCCTGCTGATATCCCCACAGAAACTACATGGTCGCGGGGGATGGATACTTGCTTATCTTGTACACGACCTTTACTGTTTAAAAAGAATTTGGAGAATGGTATCTGCAAAGAGAAAGAAAGGGAAATTTAATTTCTTAAATAAGTGATGCAATTGTAAGGCTATCCACTAGTTATCACCTACTCACTCACTTGCTCACTCTCACTCATCAATTCAATCTTCTAGGGCAGGGATATTAAAACTCAAGGAAGAAATTGAGTGATTGCATTTAAAAAAAATTCAAATATTTTCTTTAATATTCTATAAATCTAAGGCAATTTGTTGTGGTGCTAGGTAGGTACCAATATCATTTGAATCATCAGGCAAATGTTATTTTAAATTGTGGATCATGTTAAAAAAGTCTGGAAACTGTTTTAAGGAACTGATAGTGAAGTGATAAGGAGAATGATGGATTATGGTTTCTACAAAACTGGGAAATTATCTTACAAGGCTCAAACTTCACTCCTGGGAATGAAGAACTACATAATGTTTGTAAAATTATTATCTGTAGCGTTTAAACATGCTGAAAAAAACAGATACAGTGGAACCTCGACTTACGAGTTTAATCCGTTTTGTGACCTAGCTCATAACTCAATTTGCCTGTACAGTGGAACCCCAAGTTTCGGCAGCCTCAAGCTTCAGCTGCTTCGAGTTTCGAGTGCTTTTCTTGGCTAAATTTTGTCTCAAGTTTCGCACTGTGCCCAGAGTTTCGCCCGGCGTACCAGACCTGTAGGGCTGCCGTGAGTCAGTGTGGCTTTGTTTATCCTCGAGTGAACATTACCCTCCATGCTCATTCAAACATTTCACAAAATAATTCATTGTGTTTGGTGCCTGTTGATTGAGTGCGACTGCTACATAATTAACCATTTACACAAAGAAAGCTCCTAGTAAAGAAAGTGAGAAACACCATTAAATTGAAGAAAGAAATTGTACAAAAATATGAGAGTGGTGTGCGTGAGGTGGAGCTTGCCAGGACGTATGGCAAAAACAAATCAACAATCACTTCTATCCTGGTGAAGAAAAAAGAAATCAAGGAAGCTGATGTTGTGAAAGGTGTAGATATGTTAACAAGAAATAGATCACAAACACTCAAAGATGTTCAGAAGTTGTTGCTGGTGTGTATCAACGATAAACAGTTAGTGGGAGATAGCGTTTCGGAGACGATCATTTGTGAAAAGGCAAGGCAGTTGCATGCATATCTTGCAAAGAAAATACCTGGAACGAGTGATGCTAGTAAATTTAAGGCCAGCAGAGGCTGGTTTGACAGATTTAAGAAGCATAGTGGCATACACAGTGTTGTAAGGCATTGTGAGGCTGCAAGTTCAGACAAACGTGCGGCTGAAAAATTCGTGAGTGAATTTAACCCCTTGACTGTCGCGGTCGTATATATACGTCATGGGAGATACAGTGTTTGACGTATCTATATGCATAAATTCTAGAGGCTTCAAATCAAGCGGGAGAGGGCTGGTAGGCCTACATGAGAGAGAATGGGTCTCAGTGGTGGGTGTGCACCCTGTGAAAAAAATCTGGGACTCAGCAGTGCATTGTGGGAACGCCATCTTGGTAGTCCATTTTCACCATGCCTCGCGGTAAGAAGTTCTCCCTCCTCGGTGGATTGGAGGTCTTTTGTTCCCAAGTGATAGCTCAAACAGTGATGAAAGTGTCAGTGAAAGTGAATTCCCTGGTTTTGAAGTGGGATTTTGAAGGATTTGAGGCTAACCCTGAGAAGCCTATGCCAGTTGTGGAATCAATTGTGACATTGGGGAAGTCCTTGGGGGTTGGAGGTTAGTGGGGAGGATGTGGAAGAGTTGGTGGAGGAGGACAATGAAGAACTAGCCACTGATGAGCTGCAAGATCATCTTCAACAGCAAGAGGCCAGACCTGAGGAAACTGCTTCGGAGGAGGGGAGAGAGAAATTGAAGAAGTTGCCTACTTCAAAGATTAAGGAAATGTGTGCAAAGTGGCTTGAAGTGCAAACCTTCATGGATGAAAATCACCCTCACACAGCTATTGCAAGCCGTGCTGGTGACTATTATAATGACAATGTTGTGAACCACTTTAGACAAATCATAAAGGAATGGGAGGTACAGGCCTCTATGGACAGATATGTTGTGCGACAGAGGTCCAGTGACTCTCAAGCTGGTCCTAGTGGCATTAAAAGAAGAAGGGAAGTAACTCCGGAAAAGGACGTGCTACCTAAAGTCCTAATGGAAGGGGATTCCCCTTCTAAGCATTAACAACTTCCACACTCTCCCCTCCTCCCATCCCATCAATCATCACCAGATCTTCAATAAAGGTAAGTGTCAGTTTGTGTGTATTAAAATTAATATTTCATGTGGTAAAATTTTTTTTTCATACGTCGGGGTGTCAGGAACGGATTAGTTTGATTTCCATTATTTCTTATGGGGAAAATTAATTCACCTTACGATAATTTCGGCATACGATGAGCTCTCTGGAACGGATTAATATCATAAGGTGGGGGTCCACTGTATTGGCCTCTTTTAGCCGCTCTGTTATTCTTTTCCATCGCCTGTAAAGGGAGCGCCTGTCTCTTTCTATTTTACATCTACTCCTCCTTTTTCTTAAAGGAATAAGCCTTGAGCATACATCGAGTGCCACAGAGTTAATCTGTTCTAGGCATAAGTTGGGGTCTGTGTTGCTTAGTCTATCTTCCCAGCTTATATCGTTTAGGACTTGGTTTACTTGGTCCCACTTTATGTTCTTGTTATTGAAGTTGAATTTGGTGAAGGTTCCCTTGCGACTAATCTCATTTTGTCGGTTTGGGGCTCCACGCATACATGTCTGAACCTCGATTATGTTGTGATCTGAGTATATTGTTTTTGATATGGTGACATTTCGTATCAGATCATCATTGTTAGTGAAGATGAGGTCTAGTGTATTCTCCAGTCTAGTAGGCTCTATTATTTGTTGGTTTAAGTTGAATTTTGTGCAGAGATTTAAAAGCTTGTGTGTGTGAGTTCTCGTCAGAGCTGCCTCCTGGTGTTATCACTGCAACATTATTTGCTATATTCCTCCATTTTAGGTGCCATAAGTTGAAATCCCCCATGAGCAAGATGTTGGAAGCAGGAGCTGGAAGATTTTCCAGAGTGGTCAATTTTTAACAGTTGTTCCTGGAATTGCTGGGACGTTGCATCCGGAGGCTTGTAGACTACCACAATGACTAGGTTTTGGTTCTCGATCTTTACTGCTAAAACTTCCACTACATCATTTGAGGCATTAAGCAGTTCTATGCAAATAAGTGACTCTGTGATATACAGGCCAACCCCCCCCCCCCCCTTTTGCCTGCTCACTCTGTCGCATCTGCATAGGTTGTAACCTGGGATCCATATTTCGTTGCCCAAGTGATCCTTTATGTGGGTCTCTGTGAAAGCCGCGAGCACTGCATTTGCCTCTGCAAGCAGTCCACGGATGAAAGGTATTTTGTTGTTCGTTGCTGGCTTTAGACCCTGTATATTTGCAAAGAAGAATGTCATCAGACTGGTGGTATTGGTGGTACTGGAGGGTACTTTTTTTTCCAGCACTAGTATCTGTATCTATTGGTTTGGAGTGGAGGCCATCGACTGTGGTTTCGCTCCAGAAATGACTAGATTTGGCGTACGATTTCTGCCATTTCCTGCCAGTTTTTTTTCCTTCCTGGCACTAAAAAACCTCTCCCTCTTGAGTGGCTGTGGCTACCCAGGTTTTCCCATGGCCTGGTCAAACAGGTCAAACAATGCAGACAAGAGTATGTAGTGATGAACTTGTACAGACTCTTGTGGCATATATAGAAACTGAAGAGTGACAGCTTGTACATCAAAGTTGTACAAGTGCATCCAAGGAGCTGTGTGTATATGTGGGAAATGTGGACTCTCTTGAGAGAAGATTGGACTTGTGTGAACATACGCAAAGATGAAAGATCTGCTCAAGATATGAGGGGTTACTCTTTATGTGTGCTTGCTCAAGCTTGATTCTGCTTGATTTGTAAAACATATTTCATTTAGTTTAATGTGTCCAAATGTGGAAGCTTAGTGTTATGAGTTATTTGCAATGATGTTTTGCAGTGGAGTATAGTATATGCACACACAGACAGAGGCTGTGCTGTAAAGAGTATAAATGAGTACATAAATATGTTTACATCTTGTACTTTCCAACTTACCCTAGTGACCTGCCAGTGAGGTCCTCCCCGAGTATATAATGCATACGTATAAATGTCATTCCACATTATGTCAAAATAGCCAGCAGTAGAAATATTGATAATGTAAGACCTGCCATCCCCTCGCACCCGCAACTCCAAGTGGGTGTAAAGCGACCAGTCCAAGTAAGTTTCTCTTTTGAAGGATTTCTGTAAACAAGGAAAGATACTAACATTACAATCACAGAGCAGCAGTAACCTTGTAGGGGTCATACAGCACATGGTAAATGGGAAGTAATCAGGGTTGATTCAAGAAAAGGAAGAGAGAAGGGTAGTAAGAAAGAGAATATATTAAATCAAAATGAACTACGTACAGGGTTTGATAGATTTCTGTTATCTCACAAACAAACAAGAGACAGCATATTATTTTTTACTTAAAAAACTTTGCCACACCTTACTAATCTTGACAGTAACACAATATCTATCAAATTTGAGTAATAGAGTATGGTATAGCAAATATGAAACAAAATACAGTAAATGTACATATGAATCAGAAGTACTGAAAGACCAAAGAATAACATGTACTCTTTTTTTAACATACTGAATGTCTTCCACCAAGGCAGGGTGATCAGAAAAAGAAACACTATCACCATCATTCACGCTATCATTGTCTCGCCAGAGTACGCAGATACGACAGTTTCAGATGTCCCTCCGAACAACGAATATCCCAAACTCCTCCTTTAGTATTGTACTTCTCACCTCCAGAACTCAAGTCCAGCTAACTGGTTTCCATGAATCCCTTCACACACTCCAATAGCTCATCAGGTCCCAAAAACCATTTGTTTCCACTCACTCCTATCTAACACACTCACACATGCCTGCTGTATGTCCAAGTCCCTTGCACACAAAACCTTCTTTACCCCCCTCCCTCCATCCTTTCCTAGGATGACCCCTTCCCTGCCTTCCCTCCATTACAGATTTAGATACCCAAGTCATCCCATTCTACTCCATCCTCTCTAAATAACCAGAACTTACCCTTGGTCTAATTGTCCTAATATTGCAATACCCTGCACGTTTCACTCTTCCATCTTTCGGTACCTGCAAAAGAAAAGAATAGACTTAACAAATTATTTTTGAAAAATTTTAGTCTGGTGGCAACACTTATAAGTTTGACTTTGTTGTACACTCTTTGAAATTAATTTTTGTATGAAACAAATTATTTTAGCCCACTTATGAGGTTAACCCTTAAACTGTCCACACGTAGATCTACGTGCACGTGTGCAGCGCTCCGAACGTAGATCAACGTTTTATTTTTCATTCCTTCAAATTTGGTGCAATAGGCCTGAGTTGCCTAGACATGAAAGAATGGGTCTGCGCACTCAGTGTGTGCAGTATGAAAAAAAAATAGGGGACCACTTAGTACCTTGTGGGAGCACCAGTTCAACTGAGCGCCAGCTAGAGCAAATAGCGTGGCAAACACCAGAGATTCACTAATGTCATATCGTATTAACACTAATTTTAAGAGGAAAGTAAAAATAGGTTAGGTAAATACATGAGTGGGTGTGGGTGGGTGTGAATTGGACCCGACTAGGTCAGATGCCGTGCTTCCTTCAGTGGATGTGATCTGACTAGATGGGCCAATTGGTCTAAGCCGGGGGGTGACATGGACCTGCCTTGCATGGGCCAGTAGGTCTGCTGCAGTGTTCCTTCTTTCTTATGTTCTTATATATTCGGCAGACTGGCCAGCTGGCTGACTGGCTGGCTGGATGGCTTTGGCTGTCTCTGTCTGTATCTGTCTATATCTCTGTCTGTCTATATCTCTGTCTCTCAAATGTATACATAAGTACAGTTATTATACAGTGTAAATTAAATTACTTAGGATAACCCAAAAATTCCAGGCAGAGTGCTATACAGTGTTTGTAGATATAAGACAAATAAACATGATGCAAGTAATAGCAGTGTCACGTGCTCATCAATCAAGGAGCAGCTCATAAACCACAAACCAACAGGTTTACTAGCTCCCTGAGACAGAGACAAACAGATGGAAAGACAGACACACACACAGACAGACATAGACAGATAGACAGACATGTTTGTGTGCAACAGCAAAAACAAATAAAGTGAGAAAACAAATAAGGCGAGGGTTCCCTACAGCAGCACACATTCATCATATGTCACTGGCATTCATCAAATGTCAATGTCAGTGTTATGACACTGCTTGTCATAACACCATTTTTCAAGGAGTTTCATATATACTTCAGCATGCCTAAAACATTGCAAAGACCCATAAATACTTTGTATATACGTACAGGTCCGCCATCACAAATCCGGCAATCAGTTATTCGGTTCCTTCAGTTATTCGGCACTAATTTTGGCTAGCATAATTTCAAATTTCCAGGGTCGCCACACCAACCTGCTGGCACTGTTTGGTGGCACTACTTGCTGCATAAGTCATTCCAATTTCTTTTTCTCCATTTATTGTTTTAACCTGCTTACTTTTAGCCCTAGCCATGGTTCCAATGAATAAAAGAAATGCTTCTCATTATGTAAAGCACCTACACAGTACATTATCCATTAAAGATAAGGTGGCTTTGAAGCCACTGTCGGTTGCCATGAGCTCAGTCTCATGAAGCAGGAGAATATGCCTTATTATTACGCTAATGTCAACACTACAGCTTATTTGCCTGTCACAACTGATCTAATATGACATAATAAACAATAATAACATAAAACATGTTAAATACTCCAGAATAAATAATATTTGGCATAACACCAAGCAGTTCAACAGAGGTATGAAGAGGATATGGTATACAAATACCATTCTCCTATCCCTGTCTTGGTGGCTTATATTAGAGAAAACGGAGTGTAGCACAGGGCTAACTGTTATATACACTCGTACTGCACCATAAACATGAAACAAAAGTTATTTTCTCTATATAGATTATCACACATAGCAGCATATGTGTAGAGAACCTACGATAACCCAAAAAAGTCAACGTGGCTTATTTTTAGTACCTGGCTTGGGTTAGCCATATATGATTTTTGGTAAATATTCGATTCCCAGCCAGTGTAGAAACATTAGGCGTGTTTCTTTACACCTGTTGTCTATGTTTACCCATCAGTAAATGGGTACCTGGGTGTTAGCCAACTAGTGTGGGTGTTATCCTGGGACACTGACCTAATTTTCTTGAAATACTCTGCATAACAAGCAGCTTTCTATACAGTAGTATGTCACTGATGTCAGCTAGGCCTGTATACCTTGTACATGTACATGTAGTAAATGAAGATATTATTATTATTATTATTATTTTCTCTGTTGTTTGTTGGGTTATCTTATTCAAACTTGGGCAACGTATGATGGAAAGATACTTCTTAACGTAGACCAAAAATGAAAAAAATCAGACCATAAATAGCGGAGTTCACTTCTCAGCCATTAGCGGCCGCTTAGCGGTATATTTTTGTATGTTTTTTATGGTGATATTCTCATTTTTTCGGTCTCATTTGATAGAATGAAAGATATATTACAGAAATAGATATGATTTTGATTGCTTTCATGACGAAAAGTACCTTGAAATTGTGCTCACAGTAGCGAAAATGTTCTATTCTTTAGCAAATCTCAAGAGTACATAAATGACGTCACCGTCCAATACCTGTCCGCCTGCCAGTCAAAATTCCAATACGCAGTCAAGAATGGTTTGACATTATTTATATAATTATTACAATAATGCAGTAGTCTGCATAACAGTAAATCTTCTATTTTTTTGTGAATAAAAATTCCAAATGGTAAGCAAGAGTAATATAAGAGGGGCCTGTAGCCGTGACTAATGTACAGAGAAACTGTTATTTTAGTGCCAGGAATGTCTGCATTGTTTATTCTGGACCCCATTTTGAAATTGGCATCTGTTGAAATTTGTGTGAAATCGGCCAAACTGCCAATTTCTGACCACTTTATTGGGTAGTTGAAATAAGTGAATGGGCAGTTTCTTGTACTCAGTTGACAAACTAGAAGTAAATAAGTTTATTCAGGTATACACAAATACAGTTACATAGATTGTCATACATAGCAGTGTATGTATAGAGAACCTAGGATAACCCAGAAAAGTCAGACAAAGTGACTTATTTCCAGTACCTGGCTTGGGCTTGCCATATATGATTTTTGGTAAATATTTTTTTTTCTTGGTTGTTTGTTGGGCTATCTCATTGAAACTTGGGCAATGTATGATGGAAAGATGCTTCTTAACGTACAACAAAAATAAAAAAGATGGACGATAAATAAGGGAGTTTGCTTCTCAGCCATTAGCCGCCTCTTTGCAGTATATTTTCGTATGGTTTTTATGGTTGTATTCTCATTCTTTTGGACTCATTTGATAGAATGGAAGCTATATTACAGAAATAGACATGATTTTGATTGCTTTCATGTCGAAAAGTACCTTGAAATTGAGCTCAAAGTAGCAGAAATGTTCTATTTTTGCCGATGTTCAATGAACTTTGTGTAAGTCAAGTTGGTTAATTTTATTAAGTGTATTCTAACCTAACCACTCTGTAATCCGGCAAACTCAGTAATCCGGAACACTACAGGTCCCAATGATGCCGGATTTGTGATGGAGAACCTGTATTTCTAGACAATTGTAAAAGACCCAAGCAGGTGAAAATGTTCACCTGTTGATGTGACTGTTACTATTTGAGTACGTACTATTTCAGTATACGTATAATATTAGTGTCAGAACAGAGATTGGCTATGAAATCACAAGAACTATTATAAATTGTAATTATCAGAACATAAAAATTATATAAATTAAAATAAAAACGAGAAAACAAGGTAAATCAGCAACACTTCTGTAAGCAGCAGGACTGGATATTGCTGTCAGGTGAGCATCCACAGCCAACTTCCCGGTCTTATATCTTGGTAAGTACTGCTCCTAAATTTTTTTTTTTTGGTCTTACAGCACACAGAAAATTGCCCTCTTCAATAAAAAAAAATATTATTTTTTAAAATATTCGGAGTGCCATGCAGGTGAACGTAGATTTACGTTTGGACAGTTTAAGGGTTAAAGAGTTTAACCCCTTCAGGGTCCAAGGCCCAAATCTGAAGTGGTGCCCCAATGTCCAAGAATTTTCAAAAAAAAAATTTGTTATTTTTTCTTATGAAATGGTAGAGAATCTTTTTGTGAAGGTAATAAAACAAAAAGTACGAAATTTGATGGAAAATTGACGAAATTATGCTCTCGCGAATTTTGATGTGTCAGCGATATTTACGAATCGGCGATTTTGCCGACTTTGACTCCCATTTTAGGCCAATTACATTATTCCAGTCAACCAAATTCTTAGCTATTTCACTAGTATTACTTCTACTCTATCGATTGAGCACAAGAAATCGCCAAGTCAACTGTTTCAACTACAAATTAAAGTAATCGGAAATTGTTAATTTGGCCAATTTAACACAAAGTTCAAAATATTCCAATTTCAAAATAGGGTCCAGAATAAACAATGTAGGTATTCCTGGAACTAAACTAACATTTCCTCTGTTCATTAGTTATGTTTTGAGGCTTTACAAATAAATTCCATTTTGATTTTTTATTCACATAATGAATTTTTATTCACACCAAAAAATAGAAGATTTACTGTTATGCAATACTGTAATGATTGTATAAATATCATCACCATATTTGTGAATGCATATTAGACCCACCAGCTGGCGTGTATTAGACGTGTGAGGTCGTTTGTTTACTCTTGAATATCGGCAAAAATTTAACATTTCTGCTACTTTGAGCTCAGTTTCAAGCCATTTCCAGCGCTAAAACCAATCAAAATTATCGCTATTTCTGTAATATGTCTTCCATTCTATCAAATGAGACCAAGAAATCGCAAATAGAACTATAAAAAACATACGAAAAAACACTGCAAAGTCGCTGTTTTAATCGAAAAATCATGATTTCAGTTTTTTCTCTCATACACAGCGTGCTGCAGGATCTGTTTTATGTGGTGCACACATACCACATAGATGTATTCTCTCATATCTAGGCCCAAATGTACCACTCACAGTTTATCAGAGTGAGCTGAGCTCATGACGTAGATCTACGGTTTGGACCCTGAACGTA